TTCCCAATGAGCGTCAGCTTCTGCGCGGCATCCAGCACCACGCGATCCACCTTGGATCCAGAGCGCACGATGAGCACGTCGTAGTCGGGTACTTGTGCCACCAGCTCAGCGTGCGAGAGTGCTGCTGGGACGGCCGTGACCTCGTGGCCGGCGGCGCGTAGAAGTTCGGGACACACGGGATCAATAGGGTCGCTACATAGGACGCGCGCCATGGCTGCCGGCGAGCGGTGGAAGCTGCGGGTAGTCGACGGCGTCTGGATCTGAAGCAAGCGAGACCCGCGCGTCCACAGGGCACGGCGCAGCATGGAATTGAAGAGGAACGAGTGCGAGTGGCGGTCGAGTTCGCAAGTGGTCGGCTGGGAGCTATTGATGATCCATTTGAGGTGAAGCGAGCAAATCTCGAGTTACTTGATGTTTGTAAGAAGCGCATTTGCACTATTTCCACCAATTGCCAAATTCTGTGGCCGTTTTATTGGGGCCTTTTGAGCCAGTCACCATGTTGCGGTGACTCTGAGTAATCTCAAAGATCATGCTTTGGTGTGGTGCATCCAGCGCCATGAGAAATTTACATGTCAGAGACGAGGATGTCAAGTGAGTGGCTAACCTTTTTTCATTTGTAGTTTCGGTGAGTTCTTGGACTTGAGGTCACGGTGATTCACAACCACAGAGAGTGAATGCAAGTACGTCAACGCTTGGGCGAAACGAGAAGCGATACGAATTTAATCCTCATCGATGCTTGAGAGTGGCTACTCGCTTCGAATTCTTTTAGCAGCGCGCGGGGGTCTCCTCAAATCATAAGCTCCGATACCACACAAAGATCGTCAAGGGAGCCCCAAGCCACGCATACAAAGCGCACGATGCGAGGATGATCGCGACCAGCCATCATTTAAGCTTCAGCCAGGAAATCATTCACCTTCGTTCTTTTTTCCCGCATTTCAGAAAATAGCATCTTGATCGAATGTGTTGCTTACAGAGGATCTGGAAGTGTTGTTTGTCGCGCCTGCGACCTTGACTTCCATATGCAAAAGTGAATGAATTAAACAGTATGTTAGCTAGATATCACGGCTGCCTTTTTCCTTGGTATCCAGTAGAGACCCCCCACGAGTCCTACACTCACCGGACACGATCCAGTTCGTAGCCGCTGACACTTCCCCCGTCAC